AAGAACTGATAGTTCTTAACACATATTTCACTGAACAAAACACAACTATAAAAATATGAAACTGAAGAATCATAGATCTACAAATATTACTGAAAATTTCAAAACACCTCCCTCAATAATTGACAGCTAAAGAAGGTAGAAAAATCTGAAACAGAATTGTTAAAATCAGCAACATCATGCCTCAAGTCTCACTCACTTCTACACAGCTAGTTGTTTCATCTCATAGTCTGCCACATAGCAAAGTGTTCTGCCCTTACTATCTTCCACACTGCAACTTGCTTCACACTCCTGATATTCCACACAGCAAGGCGTTCCACCCTCACTGTCTCCCACACAGCAAGGTACTCAACCCTCCTGACTACACACAGCACACACTTCCATGGAGCAAGGAGTTCCATCTCATAGTCTTCCACACCACAAGGTGTTTCCACCATCATGGTCTTAACCACTGCAAAGTGCTCCACCCTTATGGTCTTCCACACAGCAACACATTCCACCCTCTCTCCACCTTCCATACAACAAGGTGTTCTTTCCTCACTGTCTTCCACACAGAAAGGTTTTTACAACTTTCCTGTCTTAAACGCAGGAAGGTGTTCCACCTCATAGTCTTCCAAACAGAAATGTCTCCTACTCTCCTATCTTCTACACAGAACATTCACCTGCCCTAATGACCTTTCACACAGCATTGTCTTCCATAGAGTAAGGTGTACACTCTGTCTTCTAAACAGCAATTTTCCCACATAGCTTGGTCTTCTACTTGGCTATATCGTTCACCCTCACAATCTCACACATAGCAAGGTATTTTCCCATCATGGTTTTCCACACAGAACAGTCTTTCACACATCCAGGTGTTCAGCCCTCACTGTCCTCTACAAATACTGTGTTCCAATCTCACCGTCTTCCACACAGCAATGTCTTTCACCCTCATGGTCTTCCACACATTAGGGGGTTTTACACTCCCAATAATTCACACAGCATGATATTCTACCCTCACAGTCTTCCACACAACAAGGTATTTAGCTCTGTCTCCCACAAGCACCATATTCCATCCTCATGGTCTTCCACACAGCACAATGCTTTGCTTTGTTTGAGAAAGGATCCTGCTATCTAGTTCAAGCTGGCCTCACAGCAACGCTCCTGCTTAATCCTCCCAAGTGCTGGTACTACAGGCATGTGCCACCATGCCGGGCCCACCCTCAAGGTCTTCCATAGAGCACACTGTTCCACCCACTTGGTCTTCCACCCCGCAAGGTCTTTCACCCTCACTTTCTTCCACTTACCAAGGTGTTTCACCCTCATGATCTTCCACACAGCAGTCTTCTGCCCTCAGGGTTTTCCAAAGCACTCTGTTCCACCCTCACAGTATTGTACTCCACTGCACAGCTGTCCAAGGAGCTCACTGTCTCACCCATCTCCTAGATTTTGGTGGACTAGCTTTTAAACACTGTTTCAGCTCCATCTGTGTGGCAAGACTATGGAGCTAGGGCCGGGGATTTAGCTCAGTGGTTCTGCTGCCTGCCTCGCAAGCACAAGGGCCTGAGTTCAATCCCCGATACAAAAAAAAAAAAAAAAAGACTTTGGGGATTTGGGGCTGGGTTCACATACCAGGCGGGGCAGGTGGTCTTAAACACCATTGAATCTATGGCTTTCCCAAGGCCAGGATTCCTACATCCAGGGATCAGGCACCAGAAATGGCAATGTTTTCTTGAATGTCATTATCTGTAACAGTCTGCTAGTGAATTTTTTGCTTTCTATTCCTGTAACCCTGTACTCCTCACCAGCTCATCTTGGTTTGCCAGAAAATTTTCCAGTCTTAAAAATAAAAGTTGCATGTCCTGTAATCAGGGCAGTCCTTTGGAAACCTTAAAGTATTCCACCTGAGGACACAGAACATAGATGATGAGACCCAGCCACTGGCTCTCACACCAGCAGTGCAGCAGAGGAGATACCTTGCTGCTGAGGCACTTGTTCCTGTCTGACTCAGGTTTCATCATAGAATGGAATGAGGAAGCAACATTCCAAAGGAGGGTACCTGGGGGGGTCTCCTCACACCCCTAAATCCTACAGGAAATGACTACAGAAAACCAGACCCTCCAAAGACAAACCTGCTGCAGCACAGAATGTCTAGAATGAATGCTGGGGTCACTCTACTGGCAAAGAACCATGGTCGCTGCAGTGCTGCCTGAGGGCCAAGGAGCAGCATGCTTCGTGGAAGAGGGCAGTGGTAAATACAGCTGCAGCCTTGTGACTACCTAACAATGAGTATCTCTCCCTTACCCCCCTATACTAACCAATTCTTTTTCTTCCTCTTTCCCTCTCCTATTCCCCTACCACCTAATGTAAAATGTCCACAATGGCTAGTATGTATTACTGTGTTTTTGTTTTTTGACTTCCGCACCCTCGAGAGGAAAAACAGCTACAAGAGTATCACCCAAAGGTGGGTAAAAGTGATTTAAGCCTCGTTTCCTGAGAGACCCTGGTGCTGGTTGGGCAAGCTGTGCCATATTAAGCAAAGCCTGGTTTTGCTTCTGTTATTCAGCTGTTTAATGTGGTTTAAAATCAAGTGTGTGTGAGAGTTGCCAGGGAGGGAACCTGTGGAGTTGTTCTATTGTCCACGTGGCCAGCTGGGAACTCTTCCATGTGTGGTTGGAGCCAGACAGACCTAGTGATCATCACTCTCTGCAAGGCTGACCCAGCCTGCCGTGGCATCGGGCAGAATAAGGGTGCCAGCCTTCGTCCCACACCCACTGCCTTTGGCCCTTTGTCCTACCTGCCAGTTTCCACACGAACACAACAAATCCCCTGGCTGGTGATCCTTGAAGGCCACAGGGTCCAGAACGCTTCTTTCCCTGCACCTGTTTTCCAACCACTTGCTTCCAATTTGCTTCTAAAGATCCTGTGTGCCGTCAGAACAGACATGACCCCTTGAAGGGTGCGCACTCTAGCTGAACTGAGCCTCTGTCCACTCTGTACCATCACCTCATTTCCTTTCCTCCACAGAATCCACCACCACCCTCGATGATTGTGTGTTCACTTGTCTGTCTCTACCCAGGAAAACTTGAACTCCATGAAAGAAAGGACCTTATGTGTCTTGTCCTTTGCTGTGCCCTCCGAGCTGCAGCTCCTAAGGATCTAAGCAATGTCTCTGGGCTAAACATGAGAGATGGCAGGGAAGGCATTAGGAGTCCCCACAGCAGCATGTAAGTAACGTGCACTTCACGAATACAAAGTCAGCATAACCACGGAAAGTAGACGGAAGGAGATGGGATGAAGACATCAGGTGACGGACGGGAAGAGTCAGGGGAAGACCAGAGGTCAGGGGACACCAGAATGTGGCTTACTTGACTTTGTGTGCCAAATGGGGTCAGAGGGATGCCGGGGTAGTGTCAGAACATGGAGTTTCTAGGAAGATCTTCCCAGCACCAGGTGGGGCTGTTTCTCCTCTTCCCCAAATCCGGGCCATTTGTGCCAGCCCAGGACAGAGACAGCATCACCATTCACCAGAGCAGAGGCCACCCTGCAGTCCCCACCAGCATGCACTGACTCCGGGGTGCACAGCCTGTGCGTGACTGCGGACCAGTGCCACATACAGCACCTCACATCCCTGTGGTCTTGCCAGAGGCTACGACACCGTGGAGAGAAGCCGGTCTATGTGCTGTGCCCGCGGTCAGGACCTGTGGAAAGGCTAACCTCAAGTCGGGGCAGTCACAGGCATGGGGACAAGGGAGAGGACGGCAGGCTGGCAACTGGACAAAAGATGAAGTGGGCAGCGCTGTGGCCAGCTCAGGGAAATCCATGTCCACCACCTCCTCTCTGGACACATGGCCGAGCATGTCACAGCAGTGCGAGGGGAGATGAGGCCTCCTGCCTACCCGTCCATCTAAGGGTTTGCCCCCAGGCCCGCGCCTTGTGCCAGAGCGCTCTGCTGCCCCCGCCACCCAAAGCTGGCCCCCCATGGAGATTCCAGGGACTTCTCCGGCCCTCCTGGAGCGTCCTCGGACGGCTTGCGTGCAGCTCCCCAGCCCACACGCTTCATCCGTCCCCCAGTGCACACGCCCTTCTTTCCCGCATTCTTTCTGACCACCCTGTACCCAGATTTTCCCAGACCTCAGGCCAGGATGCCTGCTGCAGACTCCCTCCGCCCTCTGTGAGGTTCCTGTTCCCGGTCCCCCTAATCCCAGGTCCCCGTGTCCCCACTCGTACGGCCCAGGTGGATGCGCGTCGGAGGCGGGGTTTTCGCGTGCTCCGCCCTCGCCCCCCATTGGCCCCGCGCGCGC